ACAAACCCAATGTCCAAAACGTGCTTTTTCAAAAGGCCACTGGACTTCGTTTTTTCTTGAAGATGTTTCACTTCTCATCCAAGAAGCTTCTTCAGCTCTTCAGTGAAACGTCTTCAAGGAAAAACAAAGTCCTGTGGCCTTTTGAAAAATCACCTTTGGGACGACTGTGAACTGGATGATTGAGAATCTCCACTGACAAACTCTTCCAACCTACCTTTTTCCTAGGCAGGTAAGTAGATTAAGTAACAGCATTAACAGTATGAACTAAGGGGTCCTTACTGCTCTCTGAGCTTGTTCGTTTTCTTGCAGGCGCTTCACTACCCAAACTAAGTAACAACATCAGTGCTAGTCAGATGTTACCTAGTTGGAGTAATGAAACGTCTGCAAGAAAACAAGCTCAGAGAGCACCAAGGACCCCTCATTTCAACCCTGAGTTACAAATATTCTCCTTTATTGGTACAGTATGAACTAATCAAATTCATCTATCCTAAAATTGCATATTGGCTAATAAAAGAATTTAATGCTCCCTCAGGTGGCACATGTCCCCAACTGTCCGAATTTAATTAACTGATATTTCTCCTTTAAAAAGTGCAAACATTATTCTTTTTGCAAACAGTTTACATCTTCTGAGCTTTAGCCCACAAATAATTTCTGCATTTTTCTTCTCAGGAGTTACGGTAGGACTTACAGTATAAAAAGACTAAAAGGAGAAAACTCTTTATCACTTTTCAATAATTTTCCAAGCAGGCAGACCGACAAACAAACAAAAGAATAAAACGAGGCCAACAAAGAATGCAAAACGTAACATCTATTCGTATCCGTACAATTAGTTTTAAGAACTGCTGTCTGCGCAGCTGGCTCATGTTGTGCTGTAAAATGTCTACATTGCCTGACATATTGTGCAAAATCTTTCCTGAGCTGGAAAATTTTCTAAAGATCTTTTTAGTTGACATATACCAACACACACATACATAATAATGCCTCTTCTGAAGAAAAGCTCAAGCCAGAAGAGAGCGAAAGAGTCTTTAAAGGGCAGCCTTTTCACATTTACAAGCAAAAGATGCTTTTGTAAGAATTTCAAGTCTTTGGAAATAGCTCTGTAAGGAGAGAGAAGATCTCTTCAAAAGAACCTGACTGGGTTATGCTCTTTTTGATAAAACCTGAAGCACATATTTTTTGCCAACAGAAAGCCAGCATTGTTCAGCACAGGCCAAAGAGAAAACAAAGACTACGCTGTACAAAGGTTTCACATCTGACAAAATATGCCAATTTTATAAGAATATAATGAAGAGTTATTTCACATCAAGGTGTGAACACCTATGAGGCATGAGTGCCTCACTGAGAATAGGAAAGAAATTGTACCATAATCGTGGTGTACCATAATCTTCTACAACCTAGGAGCTCTTATTTGAAAGAACAAATGGTGAAATTGTCTAGAAGGAAAATGGATAGTGCTATCTTTGATAACAGTGCATTTTTCTGTTTCATGAAAGCACAAAGTTTCAGTTTCTTCCATTTCCCTTCCTAACCACAGTATTTTAAGTTAGTTGCCCAACTGATACATTCGCTTTTGAGGGGAGAGCTTAACTTATTTGTTACAGGTATACCTGTGGTGGAATGTAGTCTGGATTCCCAGGAAATGGGGTGGGTTGCATTCCAGAGGGCAAAGAAACAGTTGAGGTTTAGACAGTTTGGTTGGAAAGAAACGAGTTAAAACAGCTCCCCCTCTAGCAGTTCACAGAGTATATCTACAGGGATGCAAGTGGTTGCTTTACTTCGGCAAGATTTCTGTCTGTAGGTGAGGAACAATAAAGGAACTAGTCTGAAGTAACACCGTGGGTCTTCCTTGGTTCTTGGGGTCTTGACAATACCCCATTTTTCCAGCCTGAAATTGGACGCAACACTTATCAATCAGTGTTATCAATATAACAGAATGACAGAATAACAGAGAAGGAAGGGACCTTGGAGGTCTTCTAGTCCAACCCCCTGCTCAAATAGGAAACCCTATACCCTTGTAGAAAAATGGTTGTCCAATTTCTTCTTAAAAGCCTCCAGTGCGGGAACACCCACCATTTCTGAAGGCAAATCATAACAAACAGCAATAACATACAAAATAAAGCAGAAGAGTAATTTCTTAAAAAAAAAAAAAAGCTTATCCGAAGGGACATAAAATGTCAAGAAAATCAATTAAAAATACACACATGCTGTAATTCAACAGAATGTGTAAGATTAAGATAAGATAAGCCAAGATGTAGGATATAGGATATAAGATATAAGGTAAGAGAGGATAGGATAAGATAACATAAGATAAATTGTCATTTTTTTACTGTGAGCACAGTGGCCCACATTAAAAACGAATTCTGTTGCCTGCTCTCAAAATAAAGTATCTATCTACCCATATACAGATATACATATTTTACATACGTACACACCAGAGGTGGTATTCAGCAGGCTCTGACCAGTTCTGGAGAACAAGTAGCGGAAATTTTGAGTAGTTCAAAGAACCGGTGGCAAATCCCACCTCTGACTGGCCCCGCCAACCCCATCTATTCTCTGCCTCCCAAGTCCCAGCTGATCAGCTGGGTCTCCTTTTGCCCTGCACAGGAGAACAGAGCTGGAAAGCAGGTTAGTGGGGTGGGGAGGGAATGGAGATTTTGCAGTATCCTTCCCCTGCCACGCCCACCAAGCCACACCATGCCTGCCAAGCCACGCCCACAGAACCGGTAGTAAAAAAATTTGAATCCCACCACTGACACACACACACAGCCTTCTTGTCTGAAGCAGTAATGCTTCCAAACCAGACAGCAATTCCATATGACAGGATGCTCTTGATCGTTAGGATTAGGGTGGAAGAAAGTTAAAACAGTTTCTCCCTAGTGATTCCCAGATCTACACAGAGGCAAAAGTTGCTTTAGTTTGGCAAGATTTCTGTCTATGGATGAGGAACCATAAAAGGACTACTCAGAGATATCCCTATGTATCTTTCTTGGGTCTTGGGGGGGCCTGAAAATACCCCACCTTTCCACCTATGGGCTACACAAGTTTGAGGCAATCCTTATCCATCCCAGAAATGCTAAATGCTAAAATATACTAAACAGCGACAAGATGCAAAGTATCTCAGAAGAGCGTTTAAGAAAGAACACATTTACCCAAAGGCACATAAAATGTCAAGGAAATCAATTTAAAAAACACACACACAGTTCAACAGAACATGTAGCAATCGATACATGTACAAAAATGGTTTAAATAAAAATGTTCTCAGAAGACTTGATGTCTCGCTCTCTGCAGTGCTAGTGGGAAAACTGCAATGGCTACATCCCTCGTGATCTCTGTGTTCTGGTGGGAGGAACCCTTTGAGTCAAATAAAGTTTGATGGTGCCTTTTATCAATATCGGTGGGTGAAGAATTTATCCTATTCTTCAGAGAGCCTGGCTGCTATCTGTATGATCTATTAGATGATCTCCATCTTGATGTCACCTGGAGAGTTGCTAAATTTTATGCCTCTCTGAGCATCATTTGCCACTTACTGGGCCGTAAAATATCTCTGTAGAATTTTATAGTCTCGTCTTTGTGTCCCATTTTAGATGTAAGCTGGTGGTTGACCATAAACTATCAACGGTCCATCTTTTCATCTATCTTCCTTTCCATTCCTATTCCGTGAATATGTGGCAGTGAACTTTGAGGTAGCTGTGGTCAGTATAGAGGTCATGGACCATTCTCCCACATATGAATCGTTATGCAGGATCCAGTCTGGGTCGGTCACCAGAACCAGAGATTTAATTTTCCAAGCTTTGGGACTCATGCTGGACCCCATTCTCAGAGAACTTCTCTCTCACCAGAATGACCAATGATGCATTCTCGTAAGATCGAAGTTCCTTGATGATGGGCTCCAGCACTAAACTTCTAGTCCTTTTTTGTTTGTTTGTTTGTTTTTTCCTTTTTAAATATGTTTGTATGGGTTATAAAGGTAAAGGTGCTAATCATTTCTGCCTTTAGTGTGTGGTGCTCATCTCTGTTACAAAGCCAAAGAGCCGGCACAGTCCGAAGACATCTCCGTGGTCATGTGGCTCACATGACTAAACATCGAAGGCACACAGAATGCTGTTACCTTCCCACCAAAGTGGTCCTTATTTTTCTACTTGCATTTTTACATGCTTTCAAACTGCTAGGTTGGCAGAAGCTGGGACCAGCAATGGGAGCTCACTCCGTTACGCAGCGCTAGGGATTCGAACCACTGGCAAGCTCAGCTTCTTAGCCACTGAGCCACCACATCCCTTTCTGGTTATAAAGTATTATAAAATACAAAATAGAAAAGCAAATAAGAGGACAGGGAGAGGGAAGGGCAAAAGGCAAAGAAAAATGAGGAAGGATGGGGAAAGAAAAAAAGGCATTGACTTCTGACTCTCTGTTACAGTAGAATAAGGTATTATCAACAAATCACAACTTTTTGTTTTACCAAAATAGTATGAACCAGTCATTTATACACAAGTCTATCAGTAAAACCCAGAATCAAAGTTTATTCTTTTCCGCCTCAAGCACAAAATTCAGAAGCGGTTTCCATGTGGAAACAAAAGTACTTATGTTTTTTTCTTTGAGCAGACTAGTCAATTTTGCCATTTCAGCCAATTCCATCATGGTATTCTTCCATGGTAGGCATCAAAGTGTCCTTCCATTTTTGTGCATACAGTCTTGCTGCTGTCAACATATATACCGTAGTAACAAAGCTCCTAACTTTTTCTCCAATTCTTTTTCCATTAGACCCAAGAGGAAAAGTTCTGGTTTCATATTTATCTCCATGTTCAACCTCTGGTTTTCATAAGCAACCCAGATTGGATCCTGCCACATTATCCTGGGGCACATATATTTGCCTTCCTTCGTGAATATTTTATAGAATTGTGCCCCTTTCCCTGTGTCTAGTAAACGCAACCTTCCCTCCCCTTTTGGGATAAAGTTGCAAAGTTCAGAGCAGAGCAAAGATCTAAGGAAAGGGATTCACTTACCAAGGCACAGAGAAGATCAACCGCTTCTAGAATCAGCTCTTGATGGCCAATCCGAGTGACTCCCAATTCTTCCAGCTCCTGATGAGTGATGTGCAACAACTGCTCCCCACTGATCTTTTCTTTCTCAAAGTTTTTAATGTATTGCTGTAGGCAGTCGTCAAGACCTAGACAAGTGACAATAGGAGCTCCAGTTAACTATAAAAGAACAGTTTCCAGTAGGTTCACCACAGCTCCATTGGAGCTAGAAAACTTTCACCCTTTGAACGAGAAGGTTTTCATCTGGATAAGTGCGAACAGCGGATTCCTTAAAAAAAAAAACCCAGCCAGGATGATTATTTTTATTTACTCGCAGGTTTTTGGAATTGTACTCATCTGAAATAAAGAATTGTAGAATAAAAGTGTTGATAATCTGTTGTGTTTTGGTGTAAACAGGGGTGGGATTCAGCCGGTTCAGAGTGGTTCGAATGAACTGGTAGTTCCAGCGATCAGTTGGCTCCACCCTAGTCTGTCCTATATTTCTGCGTTTTGCAGCTCAGCTGACTAGCGCGGCACAGCAGATTGCTGGGCAAATCAGCTGTTTTAGTCACTGGGGCTCAGTGGTGATATTCTACCGGTTCTGGCATACTAGTAGCGCTGAAGATCAGCTGGCAGAGAACCGGTGTGCTCCGAGTCTCTCCGATGCTCTGCAGTTGGGCCCACCCACCCACCTTTGCTCCTAGGCCCTTTTGAACCTCTCAGCTGTTTGGCACGGCAGAGCAGATTGCTGTGCTAAACAGCTGAGAGGTGCAGTAGCTTAGTTTTTACTGTTTTAATGCATGCACAAAGCACGCATTTGACGCGCACAGGCGAGTCGCACAAGCCGCACAACCGCCCCCCCTGCAGCCACGCCCACCAAGCCACGCCCACAGAACCGGGGCTGCAGTAGAAGTTGAGGTTTAGAGCTAAAAATAGGCTGTTTTCAAATGCAAATTGAGTGCTCACCGAACCGGTTGTTAAACTGGTTGAGTCCCACCGCTGGGTGTAAACTCAGTTCCAGACATCCAGATGGCTCCAACCCTGAAGTTCAGGAAGCCATTAAAGTTTAATATTAAAATTATTAAATATTAAAATATTTTATTTTTAGAAAATATTTATATTGTTCCAAGCATTAGAGAGGAGTGAAGGCTGCTCCCCCTGTTAGATGGGATCTGGGATTTTGTTTTGTTCTATTTCAGTTATATGTTGTTGGTGGCCATTCATGATTCCTTTGGTATTTTTTTTGTAAGTTGTAAACTGCCTAAACTTGTTCAGAGTTGGCTGGCCTAGTAATTTATATATATATGTATGAATGAACAAATTACCTGGGATATCTTTTTAGAGCATGGGAAATGCCTTGAAATTCACACATCTATACCGAGTGTACCGATAGTTCTCAACTTATTGGGTGCAAGGCCTGTTGTTAAGCTAGGTAGTTGTTCAGTGAATCATGCCCAATTTTGCCATGGCTGTTAAGTGAATCACTACAGTTGTTAAGTCCTTAAGCAAGTCTGCCTGCCTTCTTTACTCATTGGAAGCCAGCTGGGAAGGTTACAAATGGTGATCACATGCAGAGGTGGTATTCAGCCGGTTCAGACCGGTCCCGGCGTACTGGTAGCAGAGTAGTTTGGAGAACCAGCAAATACCACCTCTGGCTGGCCCTGCCGTTTCCTCTCCTATATTCCCTTGTTTTTTAGCTCAGCTGAATTCTTAAAAGCTGTGCCTTAAAAGCACAGATTGCTGTGCCTCAGCTGAGCTAAAAAAACAACAACAGCTCACCTCACCAGCGCTGACACAGAGGGAGGTTTTTGAGCGACACGCTCTCACAGAACCGGTAGGAAAAAATTTGGAATCCCATCACTGATCACATGACCCTGGGATACTGCAACCATCGTAAATACACGTCGGTTGCTAAACACCTGAATTTTGATCACATGACCTTGAGGATGCTGCAATGATAGTAAGCATGAGGAGTCGCCACAAATCACCTTTTTCAGTGCCCTTGTAGCTTTGAACAGTTGCTAAACAAATGATGGTAAATCAAGGACTACCTATAATTCCACTTCACGGCTAATATGCACTTTCCTATGTGAAGTGCACATTATGGGAAGTGTTTCTAAACTAAGGATTTGGATCATACTGTGACTTGATTTTAGGGCATCAACCCAAAATCTTGATTAGCCAAGTGGTTGTGAGGGTACAAAGGGCAGAATTTGTCCATAATGAATTTGTGGTGGCGGAGTAGTTAAAATGCAGGATTGCAGGCTAATTCTGCCCACAGCCTGGAGTTCGATCCTGACCAGCAGGCTAATTCTGCCCACAGCCTGGAGTTCGATCCTGACCAGTTAACTTAGCCTTCCATCCTTCCGAAGTGGGTAAAATGAGGACCCAGATTGTTGGGGGCTAATAGGCTGATTCTGTAAACCACTTAAAGAGGGCTGTAAAGCAAAGGGCTGTAAAATGCTATTGCTATGGCTACACCCATAAGTCATACCCAAAGGTTAAGGTTTGTCCATGTGTTACAGAAGGTTATGAAACTGATTCAACATCTTAATGGTACACATATATTTTTTTAGCATGTAGTACAAACCAGGATATGACCACTAACTTGTGGACAAAAATTAGATGCTGGTCTCCTTCTTTAGTAGCGACTGATAAGGAAAGCATACAGAGCTGTGGTGGCACAGTGGTTAGAATGCAGTATTGCAGGCTGATTCTGCCAACTGTCAGAAGTTCAATTCTCATCTGCTCAAGGTTGACTCTGCCTTCCAAGGTCAGTAAAATGAGGACCAGAATAGTTGGGGGCAATACTCTGTAAACTGCTTACAGAGGGCTGTAAAGCACTGCGGAGTGATATTAAGTCAAAATGCCATTGCTTAATGCTACACATGACATATGCTATAACTGTTCTACCTCACCAGGTTGGCAAACACTTATCAGATTTATTTTTCAGGCTGTATTTTTGGGCTACATTTGTGACCTCCGTTTTGCTATGTTCAGGCTTGTTATATGACGGCGGTGAGAGAGCAATGCTGAGAAAGCTTTGAGGAAAAATATCCATTTATTTCTCCCATGGTCTTTTAAGAGCATTTTCTAGAACTCCTGCAAAAAAGAAACATGTCCCCAACAATTCCTTCATTATTGGTTTGTACTTGGGTTGTTTTCACTTTTTAAACAAAAATATCCTGTAGCTATTTTACCTCAGGACACGCTCTGGGGAAAGTCGAGGGAAAGATTCCTGGCTAGACAGTTTCAGGATCAGACTGATAATTACTTTTTCTTCTCTTTTATGATCATCTGATATGGGCTGTGTAATAAAGCCAAACAGAAAATAAATCCAGGATATCATCAGCAAAATCTCTTTATCTTGCATTACTGAACATGAGCAGAGGTATAGAAAGCAAAGGGAGACAGAATTCTCCCTCTGTCCTCCAACAACTATTCACATTGGTCTTTGTATATTATGTTAGAACCGGTTTAGTGCACTGATTAAATGCACCGGACTAGAAACTGATAAATTCTGAATTCCTTAAAGACAAATCTTGCTGTGTGATTTGGGGCCAGTCACTCCCTGGCCCAGGAAAAAGGCAAGAGCAAACCACTTCCAAAAAAGAGAACTTGATGTAGGAGTCAAGTCTTATTTGAAATATTGCTCTCTGTCTATCTCTCCATCCATCCATCCATCCACCCATCCATCCATCCATCCATCCATCCATCCATCCAAGGCACCATCGCCATTCTAACTCAAGTCCTTAGGTTTGTTTTAGCCTGTATTTAACTCTTGAATTTTAATTGTAGTTAATATTTGTAATAATTTTTATATTTCTATTTTACTGCCTAGTAAGCCACTTGCATAGCAAGATGGGTGGGATACAAATTTAATAAACTATCTATCTATCTATCTATCTATCTATCTATCTATCTATCTATCTATCTATCTATCTATCTATCTATCTATCTATCTATCTA